CGAATACCAATTCGAACTTTACGCGCCCTCAATTGAGCACATTTTAGTTCTGTTTGTCATTTTAAGTTAGGTACATCTGACTAGACAGGCCCGACACTAAAGGCTGCAATATCCATTTACTTGTTATTTTATTTGTGTTTTAGTTTCTTTGCTCTTTTTTTAGATGTAAGTATCTCGTTTATCTTGATAATCACAAGTTACATTGGCAGTGGACTGCAGAGTACAGTTGGAATGCATCTGGTCTCGGTTCAATGCTGGCGGTTTCTTTATCGATTTGTTCAGTTTAACTCTGCACAACTCTAGAGCTCTTCCACTCACAGCGAACGCCAGATAAATAAATAACCCTATCAATTAAGAAAAGGAGCAAAATTCAGGAAATATAGGGGGATGACGGGTAAACCGTGCTTATTTTATAAAACACCCACCGAACTTCTTTAGACCTTAGCTACTTTTCCTCCACTTTTCCTCCTCAACTTCGTTTCGGGAAACATCAGGACTCGAGGAAAGACAAGACTAACTAGTTTCCCGCGGGACCATACATTAAGTGCTTTGTTATATATTTAGACTTTCCCTTAAACAATCATATGGCAAAAGCATGCGGTTATATTCGGTGCGCGGGCAACAACTGCGCAATTGTATCCCGATAGGGATACATTTGACTTGAACTAGATCAGGGGCACGTGACCGAGAATCAATCAATCACAGTGCTCGTTTTGTTGAGTAAAAGTCTAGGCATATAGCAATGTGATGTACCTCAAGTAATGCTTAGATGTTTCGGTAAGAATAGCAGGAACTTTAGACGTTTTAGACGTTTATTGAGAAGAATACCTTAATAGCAGTTGGAAGCTGAATTGCAAAGGTGTACAAATTATGTAACAAATTATGAACTCCGTATGAATGTCCACGTACACGAGTAAATCTCGTGGCACAGAATTGTCACAAATATAACTAAAAAATATTTACCAAAGTGAAGATGAATAGAGATGGTAATCTACCAAGTCGCGAAACGGCAATGGAAAATATCCACCTTCCTCAACGATACTGAGATCGATACCAAGAGGAGAGACAGAAGAAGTAAATACAATGGTAAAAGAAAACCTGCCTTGAAGACTGTTTATAAT